ATACTGTAATCCATGCAGCATCATGCATAAGATAAAATCTAGCAAATGGACAGCTACATCTAGATATGAATTGTGTGGATGTGTTTGAGCAACTTACAGTTCCATAAATGGGATTTGCAGCTGCCACAACACTGCATCGAGCATTCAGTGATGCATGAATACCAGCTTTGGCAATTGTTACAGTCTGCTGCTCCATAACTTCATGTATAGCCACACGATCTTGATCATTCATCTTGTCAAATTCATCAATACAAACAACACCTCTATCAGCAAGAACCATAGCACCAGCTTCTAGCCTTCTTTCTCCTAGCCAAAAATAATACCACCATTGTTCATAAATAATCACCAGAAAATGCTAACATCCTACAGCCCATTGAAGTTTATTACCTGTTTCCTGATCAGAGGTAACAGCAGCTGTCAATCCGACTCCAGAAGAACCCGACCAGTTGTTGATATAGCCAAAGGAGCAATATTCATGATCGCTCTTAGTAGCTGAGACTTTGCAACAGAAGGATCACCGACCATCATCATGTTTATGTCGCTATAAACAAGAAGAAATTGGATTATTAGGACCCAAAATTCTATCTTCTGTCAGACTTATAGAATATATGGTCCGGATAAAACAAATGACCAAAAAGGAAACAGATCTAGGTACTCGAGCTTAAATACTTCAGATGTTGAATGTTAAATTAACTTAGTAACATATCAAGCCAATTTGAAGAGCATATTACTCACCCTCGTAAATGGGTACCATTCTTCAAGTTCTTTTCTGTTCCACCAAGCATCAATAGAATCACTGCCTTCTTTATCCATGAGTGTCCATATATAGATGGTGCAAGTGAATTAGCAAGTAGATCGAATGCATCGTCCCTCTCAGATATCTTTTTGATCTTGTTTATGTCTTCAGCAGTGTAGATTGGAGCATTTGCTTCTTTATTGAGCAGAGAGACACTGTTAGCTATGAGGACAGTCCTACATAAAAAGATTACCCAATAAAGCTTTTCAACTGGACACAGAAGTGCTGTAAAATGACACACGAAAAATAATGGCCAGGACAAAAAAGAAACTTAAGTAACCTGAATACTCCATTCACACCGCCCTTGCTACTTCCAGGAAGTGCTTTGTATATCCCAACAATTGCCACACGGTCTCCAGGCTTGCAAGAATCCACAAGGTCATCCTCTACAATGACATCAACTGTTCGTGGAAGCTGCCCAGGAGCAGAATTCTCAGGCACCTCTTGCATTGATACTGTTTGATGGTCTTTGTATTGGCATAACCCATACTCAGTTACCAACAAATTGCCACTATCATCCTGGAACATATTCAGTTCGTGAAAAATATTTTCTTATGGTTAAAAATGAAAATTTATGAGATAGCAGTAAACCAGAAATTACCCGTGTTGGATAAACAGATCCTGTGGGCAAACCCATATTGGATGTGATATCTCGATATTCACGGGCTGTGAATTTCCCAGTTGAAGGGCAGAAGTGGACACTTTTAACAACCTTTGGCCTTACAAGAGAACCTGATGGAGGGGAAGCTAGAAGATCAGGTACATGCATATTTGAAATACAACAACAGGTGCTAGCAAAAAAATTGTCACCACAAATTCCGTATTTTATATTTTTTATAAGTAGCAATAATTAAATGTTTTATTTCTTTATTAAGTACAAAACATTATATTTGCCATAAATATTTTCCTGGTGATAAAGGAATTTATTTCATTGTGATAGAATTAAGAACAAGTATTAAATAGAGGAAACAACAATAAGCAACAGCAAAATTTACTTAACATGCTCTTTGGTGCTGCATTAAAATCAGTTATCTATTGAAACTAAAAGCATAAGCATGCAGAGTGCAGTGAATTAGACATCATACAGTGTAAAGATAATATTATAAGCATAAATCCTTGAAGTTTTGGCCTGCAAAAATGCTTCAGTATTGAGCAATTGATGTCCCGTGTAAAAGTTAATTCCGATTTCAAATAGTTGTTTTATTATTTCTAAGCATGATTATGTCCACGCTTATCACTTTCTAGAGCTCCAATAGACAAAACTTTCGCTGATCATATCATCCAGACTGCAAAAAAAAAAAAAACTAGCAAGCAGTTGGGGTTTTACACAACCATTTTGACCAGTTTGTATCGAAAACTCTGAGCCAAAAACTTATATGCCGTTTGAATCTCTTCATTTCTATGCCATCAACTTATAGAAGAGACCAACTTGGAATTATTCTCCAGAAAGCAGTATACAGGGCAATTGGGCGCATCATTTCTCCAAATGCTCAACAATTTCTCTTAAGATAGGTCAATAAATCCAAAATATCCCCTAGTACCCAGAAAATTTTCTTGCGTGCAATATGATCTTACTCATAAGTTCACTATAATTCCTATCCAACCTGGTCCTAGTATTTTCCTAGAAACTCTTGAATCCCCAATTCTTTCAATTCCAAGTAACTCCCCAACTCCCTACAATTCCAAATAACTCCCAACTCCCCACATCACCTCTACAATTATCAAACCAACTTATGCAATTTACTTCAACGAATCATATTAGTTGCAATATCAACATAAAACATGAACTCATCAAATTCTAAAATCAAACATCTCACCAATGATAACAGATACAAAATTAGAATATTGTATATCAGCTTAAAATGTATCTGAATATAGCATTTTTTTAAGAAGAATATAGCATTGTTTATCTTAGTGGAAATTTTACCAGTATTTGATGCAAATTGTCCATATGTTTTATTAACTAAATCCTGAATTGCCATTATGTGCATTCATGGGTAAGTCACAATATTTTCGGCATTAACCCCAAATTATTATAGTCCAGAAAACCTAAATAAGCTGCAGTGTCAATACTTCTTTATGATTAAGAACTTCGATTAAATAACAAACTATAAATTCCACAAAAAAGCACTCGAATTTGCATAAAAATGAATAAATTATAGAGTTAATAGAATTACATTTAGTAACAATGCCCTCGACGCAGACCATTGAACCAATGAAGCCAGACAAAAGCTCTCTTGGTGTTACACGCCGTGACACAAAAGGACCCTCAAATCCAACAAGCACTTGCTCTCCTTCCTTCAAGTACTTGGGATCACATGTCCGAGTGATTTCCGTTATTGCATCGCACAACGGTTGCATATACTCACTCGGATTGTAAAGAATCCTAATAATTCGTATACGAAAAACAAAAAATTCATGAGCAATTTCCGATATGATGCATGGTGACCAAATATAATCAAATACAAAACAAGAATTCACAAAATTAGTGACTATAAACATGAAGTGACCTGCGAGCCAAGTCGGCGCCCTCTCCATTCTTGTCATTGTAAAGGTCGGAGAGATTGATGATTAAACGGCGACGTTTGTGGTCGGTCATGTCCTTGATCTCGGTTTTCAGGTTTACATTTTCGTTTTCGAAGAACTTGACGAATGTTCGCTTGTGCTGTGCCCTAAGTTCCTCGCTCAAGTCCATGTCTTCTTCTTCTACTTCGCCTCTGTTGAGTGTGGGTGTGTGCCACAGAGAGAGTGAGAGAGAGAGAGAGAGTTGTAGTCGTAGACAAGGGTGGAGATGAGAGAGAAAGTGAATCGGGCTCTTTTGCAACCTATTTGGCGGGAATTGGGGCTTGAGGTCTTCCCTTTGGCGGGAAAATTGGTGTGTTTGTATACAAGAACTGTATTTGTTCCGAGCGTGACTTGCGCTTACATTTGAGACACTTTTGAGTTTGAAGGGTTACGAGTCGGTGGGCAAACGGATCGTGAATTCGATTTCAAAAGCCGGACCTAAATTCGATTCAATAATCCAATAAAATTTATTTTCGTAGTCTATATTCAAATTTGTTAACAAATCCAAAATTTGATTCAATTAAAATAATTTAATTAATTAAATTTTTAAATAATCATTTAATTTATTTAATATTTATACAAAATATATAAATAATTTGAATCAGATCATAATTGAATTGGATATAAGTATATTCAAATCCAAATTCATAAAAATATATAAAATATCAGATTCGGACTCAGACTCAGACTTGGGCTTGGGTTATTGGTAAAAAAATATTAATTCAAATCAAATTCTGATCCATTAATAAACCTAGTTCTGAGTCCGTCAAATAATCAAGTTTAGATCATAATTGCACAAAATTTACCATATCCGATTTTAAAAATTCGATCCAATTACGTACAAAAAATTTTGGCCATTCAATGTTACAACTTACAAGAGAGGGGGAATGCTAGGAGGAGAGTCGAACCTTCAACCTCCAGGTCGAGAGCGGAGAGATTCAACCATTAAATTAAGACCAAAGTCCTAAATTACACATATTTTAACTCAATTTTTTCAAAGAATCCCTAAATTACGTTATATTTTCGTAAAAAATGGGATCAAAAATTGATAAATCCAAATTAAAACTCACATAAGTAAATGGATTTTGGTTAAGATTTAAAAAAGAAGTCAAAAAATTAATTTGTTTTTAACTTATCAACTTAATTAGGAGGTAGTTTTTCACAATTTCTATTTTGACGTGACTTAAGGTGCAAACTCTACTCCACACACACACACACACAACACACACACACACACATATATATATATATATATATATATATATATAGAGAGAGAGAGAGAGAGAGAGAGAGAGAGGCATTGAAATAAAGAAGGCCATTGGAAGGTTTTGAACATAAAGGACAATATCCCTCTATCAACTACATTATTCATTACAGCATAAATTTCCTGCGTAACAGCCCCCATGGGTTCCAATAGATCTCAAGGCATGATGAGCCTTTAATGTAGAGTTTGAACCCAAAATTATTACACAAAGTAACAACTTGTGCGTGCAGGATCTTGTACAATATAAACACGAAGACAGATCTCTCTCGTGGTAAACATGTATCCAAAATTGGGTGGTTGATCTTGCTAGTTGAACAGGTTGTGAGAGTCGAAAGTGGATAATCAATCGTTGGTATGAGTCGCCTGAGTGATCCTGTAAAACTAAATGGAGTTCCTGGAACAAAGAAAAACAGGTTAGAAGGGCGCCAGAGTATTTTTCGATGTATCCCCTCCGACGATCAAGTCAGTTCTTTGAGAGAGGGAAGAAGAAAACACTGTGTGAAGGTTGAGAGAGGGTTTCTTGCGTACCTTGTCATGCGTTTTGTGAGGAGTATTTATACCTTAAAAACTCATGATTGCTGTCAGTATGGTCAATAGGTGATCATTAGAGGTGAGTAATGTGCGCACTGGTTTTTAGGAGAAATGACCCCTTCCTTAACTGCTCGGGACCCCGAGCAACCAATGCATCACCCTCGGTCTGTTGAACGTTTAATGACCTTTACTCGGCAGGGATATGTTAAATGCTCAGTCACAGGAACATTCAGTATATTTCACTTCCGGGTCTTCACGCATTAAATACTGTCTCATCAAGGGAGAGGTGCATTAAATACTTGTTTTTCCAAGTCGTGTGTCAGCAAGGGCATTCTGGTCTTTTTGCCTCTGATCTGACACAGTACGCCACGTGTCAGCTCCCCTTTGGTTGAGTCTTCTGCTTTCCTGTGCGTCCTGACACCATCTAGGTAAGACCAGGTCATAATGGCCAATCTAACCTAGCCCAGGCTGATGATCTGTCTATCAATAACCCTGCAGGAACAGAAACGCCGATGTAGCGGATACACCTCGGTGCCAAGGGCCTAGTACGGTTAGGGGCCGATGTACCCCCCCAATTCAACCGAGGAATACGTGTCGCCCCGTGCATACCGCGTCGTAGATCCTTATGCATAGTTCCCTCCTCGGGGAAAAGGGATCATGATCCGACGAGCACGTGTCGGGATCACAGCAGAGAGTATTTTTTTGACACCGAGTACACGTGTCGCTATCTTAGAGTGTCTGAAAAATGTCCCATCACAACTCAAAATGCTCCAAGTGCTAAAGCATAAATTTTCAGAAAGAAGATGAACGTCTCACTAAGAAATTAAATCAAGGCCCAAAAAGACAGACTTCTCTCAGCCATAAGAAGTGCAGACAATTCAATCAAGGTTTGAATGTAGAAAAAAACCACAACGGAGTTGTATCCGCCAAATCCAAAGGAATTTGAGATGGCTGCATCTCACGATAAAGTTCGTATCAGTAACTTTATGTGCAGAGCTAATGCAATTGATTAGATGGCCCGAGTTTTGGGGGAGAGGAAGGGCAGGAAAGGGGGGTGCAAATGCAAAGTTTCTTACCAACATTCACTTCATGTTGCTTCTTTTTGTTTGCGACAATGTCAATCTCAACCGAAGGCTCTGGATTCTGCGTGCATTTATTCAACAGAACTTGTTAAGAAGGCAAATAAGTATATATGCAAATGCAAAACTATGTCATGATATGAACATTTCTCTGTGAAATCCAAAGCAGTACATACAAATTGATTTATAGTAGGATGAAGCCACCCTGTGGCAATGGCTTTCACTGTAGCAATAGCTTCCAGGCCCCCAGCAGCACCAAGGGAATGCCTTATCATAGACTGAAACAGAATAATACGAGTGAGAAGAAAACATCAAACTGAGGAGAGTGAGAAAGTAATGTCAATATACACGTTCTTTTTATGAGTGAGAGCAATAATAATATATATTCTCCTCAAAGCTGGAATTGATTGGTCAAGCCCAAAATGACCCAATCTATGTGCAAAGTCCAAATCTCAATTAAGAAGCCCTACCTCATTTAAAGATCCACCAAGCCCAACATAGCCCAAGACCATATTAGACTCTTTGCTTAGCCACGTCATCAAGGGGAGAGCATGAGAAGCCTTATCTGCACCACCGAAGAAAATGGTCCACCCTCACCATATCTTTGACCGCGTCTCATGGAGAGCTCCTTAACCACCTCGCTCGTTGAGAAGAGATTGGAGTTCCACCGAAATGGTTGCTTAGTCGCTAAAAAGTAGCCCCAACATGTTAGGGAGCCACTATAAATTGCACACTCCATCAACACTTAGGAGGACACTGATTGCCTGGCATCACACCTTCCCTGACTCTCTCTTCTCCCTCGAAGCTTGTATTCTCTGTCTCTACACCCTTAAATTAATAAAGTACCCGATAACGAAAGCCATTCAAGAGTGGACGTAGGTCGAGTTGACCGAACTACTATAAATCTTGTCTTCTCCAATTCTCTCTTTACTTTTACTGCATTTATTATTTACACTTAACAGGTGGTGTACAAAACCATTTTTGTGCATCATCAGTTTGACGCCGTCTGTGGAAGAAGACAAAATTCTCACTCTTGAACATTCCATCCACTGAACCAATGACGATCACTACCCGATCCATGAACCAACACGAAGACAGTCCACCACGAGAGGAGAAGGTTGCTCCTCCACCAACCAACCCTGTCCTGAATGCTCCAGCTCCGAATCCCCAGTAAATGTTGGAGACCATGCAGTAGTTGGTGCCCCAAAACCAATAGTTACTACAACTCATGCTTGCTGGACAAGGAGGAGCACAACTCGGAGGTGCACAACATGGAGGACCCCAAGGAGCTCCACGCCCTGGACACCAAGGAGCACCACGCCCTGCTGCTCCACGCTTAGGCGCCCCCTTGGGCACCCCACTTGGGGGAGCCCAACATGACGGAGTTCCACCTCCCTTTCGTCTTGCTTCCCATGGAGAGGACCCTTATCTCTAAGAGGATGAAGGCGAAACCCAAAGCATCGAGCATGGAAGTCATTTCCATGATCATTCTAGAGGAGCCCCCAATCATTGGGACGAGAAAATCAAGGAAGTACAAAATCAACTGGGTGATGTCTTCAACGCCATGAAGGCACAGGGACCCAAAACTGTAGACCACCTAGTAAGGCGTACGGATACGCCTTTCAAGCCTGATGAAGCAAACTACCCCCTCCCTCAGAAGTTCAAAATGCCATATGTGGAGACCTTTGATGGAACAAAGGATCTACTAGACCGCCTCGACACTTACAAGACTTTGATGCAGCTGCACAACGTACCAAACGAAATTATGTGCAGGGCATTTCCAACCACGTTAAAGGGGTCTGCCCGACAGTGGTTTGCTAAGCTCTCCCCCGCCTCCATTGCCTCCTTCGCTGAGCTTAGCAGATCATTTGTTTCATATTTCATTGGAGGGCGTCGCTATCAGAAGCCTGTTACGCACCTACTTAGTATAAAAAAGGACTGCGAGGAGAGCCTAAGGAGTTATCTCACTTGTTTTAACGAGGAGGTACTCCAAGTCGATGAGCCCGACGACAAGGTGACGATGACCGCCTTTTTGGGTGGCCTCCGTTCATCAAACTTCCTTTTCTCAGTGATGAAACGCCCACCGAAAAGCATGCCAGAGCTGCTAGCCAAGGCCCAAAAGTACATGAATGCGAAAGACATCACAAGGGGCCAGGCGAGGTGAGTCCTCCAGAGCGGGGGAGAAGAGGAAGGAAAGGGAGAGGGACGATAAGAAAGAGATTAGCAACAAGCGTGGCAGAACAGAGAGAGTCCCTGTTAAGGACTGGCTAGGTCCTACTCCTTAGAGGGACCGTCAACCCTTCACTCCCCTCAATGCTGCTGTGGGACACATCCTATTCCAGATTTAGGATGACCTCGTGATAAAGTGGCCTGAGAAAATGAAGTCTTCTCCAAATCGTAGAAAT